GTACTCGAGCATATGTGAAGTTTAATGTCTCACAAAACTTAGTATAAAACAGATTTACGTGTTAAAATGTTCGTTTGTTATTGTATATTAAAGTAACTTCTTGAAATAGTATTTCCATATATGTAAAATTTCGTAGTATTCTTGTAAAACTTTACCTATTATAGTTTCCTAAAAGTGTGTTTCGTTTGTATAATAAACCCTTAGTGAAAATGCTCACTTGTTATGAAAAGTATAGTTTTTGTAGTGCCAAAACCGACACACATAAATGTAGTATAAGCAGAGTGTCTGATTTACATAAATACATAAATCATTTCTTATTTCAAAAGGTAAAATGTTGTCGTGGTATAATTTGCATATGAAAATTTCCCTATAATAGTTATAAATCACATATGATTCCGTTGATAAAACGTGCATAGTGAAACTTTATATAACCCACAATAATAATCGAGTGTTTTACTTGTATTCCCCCCCCCCCCCCCCTTAAAAGCCTATAAAAGTACTCATAAAATATTTAAAAGTGTGAATTATAGGGGTATAAACTCACTTGAAAGATCGAAGAAGGCGGGATGAAAACTGGACAAAATTTCAACTCGAGAAAGCGGATTATCTCAGGATTCTCGGGAATCTCGGGAGCACAAACGACCCTCGGGACTTGAGCAATGTGACCGGGACTTCGGGATAGCACGAACACGAAAAACGAGGAAAAACGCAAGAGAGATGAGAGAGAATGGCCCTTTTCTTCGGAACCCTCGCATCCCTTTTATAGGGAGTGTGAACCGCCTCTGTACGCGGGGCGTACGGGCGTACGCTGGGCATACCCGTGCGTCACGCATGCGCGCATCCTCGACTGCTTCGGACTCCGGATGCGACGTGAACTAGCTCGCATAGGGTGCGACGTGGACGATCCGAGGCCAAGGCCTTGAGTACGTTGGGCGTACCCGTGTACGCTGGGCGTACTCGCGTGACTCAGACTTCGGATAATACCGAAGTTTTCATTAAAATTTATATATTTATTATTTAATAAACTTCAAAAATTCATATCTTCTTTATACGAACTCCGTTTTTGACGTTCTTTATATCCACGCGTAGGTGAGAATATACTCTACAACTTTCGTTTAGATTCCGTTGTCAAATTTTGAAATTATTTTTATTATATATTTTTAAAAGGTCGCGGTAAGAAAATTTCTTTAAAAATTCATAACTTCATTATCTGACGTCTGTTTTTGCCACACTTTTTACCGTTGAAAAAGCATTATCGAGACCTTCGATTCTCATTTAGGTCATTCTGGTCGAAAGTTGCTCGATCTCTGTTTTGAGTTTTTAGTTGTCCGTTGCTAAGCCGAACTTTGAAATTTCATAACTTTATTCTACGAAGTCAGATTTGGGCGTTCTTTTTACGTACGATCACGGTTTGTTGACATCTAACATAATAGATAATTTAATTAGTGATTTTTGGATATTTTATTTTCGAAGTTAAGTTCATTATAACGAGCGTGGTTACAATACTTGACTTTTTAGGTCGTTTACATAGAGTTGAAATATCGGGTTGTCACAACTTCCAAGACTATGATCGACTGTGGAATTTGAATAATCAATTTATTCGGGAAGTAAAACATGCAAATTGAAACACAATAATAAATAGTTGACAAAAGGTAGTAAACAAACTTATTAATAATTCTCTATTATTTAATCCCCAAAAGTCAATTACATTTAATTTGTTACAAGTTTCTAACTAACTATATAACCACCAAAACTAATATCATCTCTCAGACCAATGCTCCTAGCATGCTAAATGATTTTAACCCTACTCAGACCTTTTGTGAGTGGATCTACAAGATTCTCTTCAGATGATACCCTCTTCACTAGAAGATGACCTTCATCTACGCTATGTCTGATGAAATGGTATTTTTTGTCGAGATGTCATGATCTGCCATGATCGCTTGGTTCCTTTATCAAGGCAACGACTCCTTTATTATCACAGAGAATTTCCATTGGCTCCTTGATGGTTGGAATAACTCTATGATCTCCGAAGAAGTTTTTCAACCAAATTGCCTCCTTTGATGCTTTAGTTGCCGCTATGTACCCTGATTCACAGGTAGAATCAACAAATGTCTCTTGCTTGAAATTTCCCAAGTAACTGCTTCTCTATTTAAGGTAACACCTAACCAGATTGAGAACGAAAGTTGTCTCTGTCTGTTTGAAAGTTGGCATCACTATACCAAGTTACTCTCAATGTATCACTACCATCAAGTACTAGGACCCAGTCCTTAGTCCTTCGCGAATATTTGAAAATATTTTAACTACTAACTAATGATCTTTATCTTGATTTCTTTGATAACGACTGACCATGTTCAAAGAAAAGGACACATCAGGGAAAGTACATATCATAGCATACATGATAGATCCAATGGAGGAAACATATGGAATCCGAGTCATTTCTGCCATCTCTGCATTAGTGCTCAGACTCTAAGTCTTACTCAGCTTGGTATTACTCTAGATAGGCAGTTCTACTTTCTTGGAATTCTCCATACTAAAATGTTTTAGAACCTTTTCCAAGTATGTAATTTGACTAAGTCCAATTAGTCTTTTACTCCTATCTCTTATAATTATTATCACCAGAATATAAGCAGCCTCTCCTAGATCCTTCATAGCGAAACACTTTCAAAGCCAAGAATTAACCTCTTGGAAAGTAGGAATGTCATTTCCTATAAGAAGTATGCCATCAAAATAAAATACTAGGAAGGTTACTATACTCCTACTAGCTTTGGCGTATATACACACAGGACTCATGTTCACTTCTAGAGAAATCAAACTCCTTGACTTTCTCATCAAAGAAAAGATTCCATCTGTGAGATGCTTGTTTCAATCCATAGATTGATTTCTCAAGGTTTCAAACCTTATTAGGAAATATTACATCAACAAATTTTTTTTGGCTGATTTATGTAAACATCCTCATCCAACTTCCCATTAAGGAAATTGGTTTTGACATCTATCTGCCAAATTTCGTAGTCATGAAATGTAGCTATGGTGAGCATTATCATAATAAATTATATCTTAGCAATTGGTGAGAAGGTCTCATCATCTTCAACCCGTGGGGTTTGAGTAAAGCCCTTTGCAACCAGTCAAGCCTTGAAAGTGTGTACCTTTCCATCCATGTCAGTCTTCTTTTTAAAGATCCGTATGCACCCAACTGTCTTACGACTTGGTACATTATCAATCAAATTGCAAACTTGGTTTTCATACATGGAATTGATATTTCTGTACATTGCTCTTTCCATTTAGCTGCCTCATGGCCCGTAATTGCTTCCTTGTAGTTAGCATGTTCATCTATTTACCAGTGTACTCTCACTAATTAACGTATCACCATTTATAGTATTATGGAAACCATAGAACTCATGTTGCATTCTAACTCTACTAGAACACATAAGAGGTAATGAATCATTAACTGGTTCAACTAGAATCTCTTTCTCTGGTTGAACCCTAGCGTCTTCTAAGGTTCTTACATTGTTTGATTCTTGAATCTCTTGAAGATCAATGTTTCTCCGATTGTCTTCTTTGCATATGAGCTCTCTCTTGCGAAGACTCCCCTTCGTGCTACAAAGACGATGTTCTCACTAAGTGTGCATAACAAATATCCAAAGGATTTTTGGGGGTAGCCGATGAAAATACATCTCTCACTTCGAGGTTCAAGATTTTCATGAGTCTCTCGTCTAATGAAAACTTTACAACCCCAAACCTTGATATGTGCTAACGAGGGAACCTTAGCTATCCGCATAACGAGGGAACCTTAGCAAGGTTCGATTTCACCTTTGAGCTACACCATTAAGCTTTGGTGTCCTAGGATGCGTCAATTGTGAAACTATTCCACATTCCTTGAGGTATTCATGCAACTCGATACTAAGATAATCTTTGCCTCTACGTGATCGGAGCATCTTTATATTCCTCCCTAATTGATTCTTGACTTCTTGTTTAAAATTTTAAAATGTTCAATGGTATTTGACTTATGTTTGATTAAGTAGATATAACCATATCTATTATAATCATTAGTAAAAGTGTAAGGTTACACCTAATGATCTGATGAGTCAATAATAGGACACGCTGATCTATCAGCATTAACTTCTACACGTCAACAGCACCAACATATCAAGTTTACCAATGTCAGCATTTAGTATAGTTATTATGGGTAATCTTTGTATATTAATTAGTGATATAGATATGTCTAGAATAGATCACAAATATGATATATTTATGATAAGATCGGTTCTTAGTATAGATTAGATATAATCCCATCAATCATGGGATATACATGTATAGATTAGTATACATACAACATTAGGGCAACCCATCATGTTGTAGATTTGTGTTATTTGTCTTTATGACAAACCCGTCTTTTTGGTGAAGACAAAAACTCTTTTCTTGGTGAAAGGAAAAATTTAGAGAACTTCTATGTTATTTACTTTCTTTTGTTTATTTTACCTAGATTAGTTTTGACATTTCTTATTCATCAATGAAGTGAATTCGATCATCACAAACCATCAATTGGTATCAGGGCAGGTTTTTTATACACTCAATTTATCATGTTGATTTCAAGAAATTCCAAATCCTTTGGTCTTAACAAAATTCATCCCTTCAATGAACATAACTTCACCTTGTGGAAAAACAAGGCTATGGTGGTTCTTGAAACAATTGACTATGAGACGAAAAATATTGTTGAAAAGACCCATGGTAAACAACACCCCTATTGCCCCCCCCCCCCCCGGAACAAAATCCACTAACGAGTTATGATGACGATGACAAGATATTACTCAATCTTGATGTGAAAACTAGTGTTGTTATTGGAAATTCTCTTCCATACCACGTGTATCATCTCGTATAGAATTGTGAATCATCCTAATAAATAATGGAGTGTTTGATAGTGGCTTATCAAGGTACAATGGAAGTTCATTCTACGAACATCAAAAATCTTAATCTAATATACAAGCATTTTTTTGCTCAACAAGATGAGTCTCATACCCAAACCTTTAATAAGTTTTAACTTTTTGGTTAATGATATGCACATGATGGGAATCGTCAAGCACTCATCACAATTGGTTCTGAAGTTTATTGATTCTCTTGGGAAGAGCTGGGAACATCACGATGATGTTCTTAAGAATAGTGAGAAGAGCGACTCCATGGATCTGAATTCTTTGTTTGGTAATCTGCGAAATTATGAAGAGACCAAATCTCTTTGTAAAGAAATCGTGAAGGAATCAAGCAAGGAAAATTCAGTTGCAATGGTGTCTCGAAAGGAAACAAGGAAGACCATCATCGACTCAGACAATTCGGATTAGGTTGAACAAAGTGATAAAGATCTCACCGATGAGCTTGTCGCCAACACTGCACTTATCGTCAAGCATTAAGAAGAAAGCAAAGCAAGCGGGGTTAGAAGAGCTCAATTCAAGGGAAGCAGCTTAATGAAAAGATCCACTTTAGAGAAGAAAAGATCAGGTAATTTCTTTAATTGAGGAAGCCATGACCAATTTGCTGAGGATTGCAAGGAAAAGAAAGAATCCCAGAGTCTTGAGAAATATGAAGCTTTCACTACTAGAAAAAGCCCTTTAATGACGCGCAAACAATGACACGCACTGATAGACAATACGCATTTGTGCGTAGCTTAAAAAATAATGTCAGTTTTGCAAAATATAAAGGATAGAGGGCAGCGCATTTGTGCGTGCCCTAAAATTAGTGTCAGAAAAGAAAAAAAAGAAAAAGCGGAGGGCACCTTTCATAAAACGTGTGTCATCTAAGAGTGTCGCTTTATAATTTTTTAAATAAACACGCGTTTTAAGCGGGATTTCACCCGCCTATACTGGATCCCAAAAATTAACCCCCCCCTCTTTCGATTAGCAAGAAAAATCCCTAGGGCGTTGGTCTTCATAGCAGCATCGCACCACCACCCAACCTCCGATCTCGCACCACCAACCTTTAATAGCTAAGCAGGAAACGAAATCCCCAAAAATTAGAAAACCCCGCCCTGTTCTCATCTTCCTTCGTTTCTACTTTTCTCTTTTCCATGGTTTGGCCTAATGATGTTCTGTGAATTCCATGAGTTATCACTATGAAATATGGAAGAAAGGATCTATGGGACAAATGGGGAGCTAGGATTTCCGATTACAGTGTTTTTGTTGTATGAAAGCATTGTCGCTCAAGTTAAAACACGCGAGAAAGAAGGCATCACTGCTCTACCAGACCGATCACTTTCTTTCTTCTCCCTGAACAACAAGTATGTTTTGTATACTCTCAGTGCTCGCTGGCCTCTCCAAAAATCGACTATGTCACTCACCTCGCCTCGCCTTTCCGGCAACCTCTTTGGTCGCTTCTCCTACAATACCTTATCTTGTGACTACTTTAGTTTCTTTTTATCCTGTAAAGAACTGCTTCTCATCGCTATCAAGAACCACACTTATTTCTTATCCAACTCCTTTCAATCCATATAAAATCGAAGAAAACTTATCTTCTAGTCTTCTATCCATTTCTTCAACAAGAAGACAACCAAGAAAAACTGAAAGGTGCGTTTTAATTAAGACCCATATGCATTTGTCTTGTCAAATTCATCTGTTTCTTTGTTAATTTTTGTTTAGTTTTCCAATTTGGGGGTAATTTAGGTTGTTATTTTTAAGTACTGTGTTTTGATTTAAGCCTCACTCATTTTTTATCAAAGTAATTTGGTGGTGATTCACCGGTGTTGAAACGATGAACATTATTGGGACCTAATTATGTACTCAATCTGGAAATGAGAGATCTGAGGTCTTTAACACTTTCTTTATTTCCATTTATATTTGGAATTTGATGCATCGACATATTGAAATTGTATGGAACCAATTATTGGGGTAACATAATGCCCACCAACTGTTTGATGAAATGTTCGGTTCTTCTGACAGTGAAAGAAGTCATATTTGTTTGGTTTTTGTCAATTTCTCTTTGTTACTTATGTTCTTATTAGGGATTTTGAAGTTCTGGTTGTTCTTCATCATACAGGTGTTCCTCTTTGGGCAGGTTTATATGGAGAAAACATTGCACTAAGTTCAGTTGATGGAAAGAAAAATAAGATGGATAGTAGTTTCTAATGATTACCACATCATGAGGAGGTTTGGTTTCTTTTCCCATTTTCTTCTGCCACTAACTACTATATATCCCTTCCTGTTTTGTTTTTCTTTCTTCAATAAAGCAACAACTTCCTCTATTTTATTATTTGTTGTTTACAACTTTGCCTTCTATATTTTTTTTTATGTTTCAGGGAATTTGGCACAAATAGTTTTAATCATTTGTTGGTCTACTACGTATAGTTTAAATATAAGTGGCCTAAAGAGAATAATAATATGTAATTGATATTACACGAGGAAGAATAGAAAAATGAAGATGAGCAAGCCATGAAGAAGAACCTATTGGAAATGAGGAAGATATGACATCATTATAAGAGGAGATGATTAATATAACATCCTCAGAGGCATAAGAAGAAGCAAGAACATGTGCATCAGAAAAACAAGAGTATCTCTATAAAGTCAGTGAGCTTTGGCTGTATTAGTTTATAAATCTGTAAGGTTAAAATGGAAACAATTTGATTAATTTGTGCATTTTTTTTTCTTACTTTTCTGTTGTTAATTTGTGCAGTGTTTGACAGTTTGAGTAGGGAGAGAGAAGAGTTTTTGATGCTTGTCAACAACGAGCTATATATATATATATATATATATATATATATATATATATATATATATATATATATATATATATATATATATATATATATATATATATATATATATGCCTGTTCTTGTGTATAATACAATGTTTTGATGAAGTTGCATTTACATGTAATCACTTTTATGTGGCATAGGGGAAGAATGCAGATTTGACTAAGAAATACACCTGCTAGATGGGAAGATTTTAATGCAGAAATGACATCAACTTGGGAAGTAAGTATGGGTTTTTAAGATATAAATATAATCACATTGTATAAGAAAGTAAAACAAAGCATTTAATGGACATGCATTGTTTAATGCGTATTGTAGTGAGACATACAAGTCAAATGAATTTGGTACCTTTGAAAATGTATGTGAAGCAATCTTAATGATGACTTATTACTGTGATTTCAATTACTTAATGGTTTTTAGTTTTCTTGAATAGTATAAGAAAGTATATAATAATGTGATTTGCTACACTTAGCTCATATTCCACCTAAAATAGATAAAATCTCCTTTTCTCATACAAATACTACATTTTTATCCCTACTTGTACTTTACAACCTCACTCCCTCTGATATGTCAAATGTTATCGATTTAGTCTACAAATCAAATAGCTGAATTAAATCCTTTACTTTTGACATAATGAATTTGGTGTTCTTGCAACTGCTTCACATGCGGTTTCTACACAAACCAAATTTGTTGTTTACTACAAACCAAGGTTTTTTCTTTTATTATTATTTTTTTTACTTTTCTTGATTCCACAAAAGTGATATTTACTGTATTAAATATTTTTACCGGATAACTCAGTTTACATAGGCTTGAACAAGTATATTGAATCTGTGAACAATAAATTTAATATGCGGTTTGACTATGAAGACTCTCCAGAAAGAAGGTAAACATAATATTTATAAGCAACTAATAAAAAAATATATTTTTCCATGAAAAGTTTCTTCATATTTATTAGGTTTACGGGCATGATTACTAGAGTAGAAGACTCTCTCATCAATGGGAATGCTCTCAGAAGCCAGTTGATAGTCACAAACTGAGAAAGTTTGATGCCCTGACCATTGAGACATTTGGAGCACGCATAGAGAAGCTTATTCGGTGATAACATTTTTATAATAAACATGTTTTTTATGAGGTGTGTGTTTGTTAAATCATAAATCATCAATGTTAATTATTAGTTGTTACAAGCAGGGAGAAGTATTTGCAGATTTGTGAGATGGTTGATGATGAAAAAGTTGACATCGCAAGCACGGTTATCAATGAAGATGATCCATTGGAGGATGATGTGGTACGGAGCTTGAGAACCAGCCCTATACATTCCGAAAATAAGGACCGCACTTCCATTGATGACTTTGAGATTATAAAACTGATTAGTCGTGATGATGCAATTGTATATAAATGAGTTCATTTTTTATAACATTTACTCATTTTTGGAATAATTATTTGTATTTGACATATTAGTGAAATGAATTATCTTTGTTCATTATGGTATTTTATTTTGTATTATGAGATTTTTAATGTATTATTTAATTTGAAAATTAGTAAATCTATAAATAATATTTTTTTTTAAACATTTAAAATTATGATACGCAAAAATGTGTGTCATATTCATTTATGACATGGCCTTTCTTGACAAGGGCTTTCTTGATACGCATTGCGTGTCATTAACACGCGTGTCGTAAGGTTACGACACACGAATGCGTGTCGTCTTCCTTTATGACATGGCCTTCCTTGATACGCAATGCGTGTCGTAAACGTGCGTCGTAAATGAGCGTCGTAAATGTGCGTCGTCTATAGACGACGCGCAAAAGCGCGTTGTCTCTCTTTATGACAGGGCCTTCCTTGACGCGCATTTGCGCGTCATCTGAGCCTTTTACGACGCGCAATGAGCGTCGTAAAAGGCTGTTTTTCTAGTAGTGTTTGTAAAAGAAGCTGGTGGCTCATATGAAGAAGGAAAACATCTATCCGCCAAAAGCTTCATTGTAAACCAAGAGGATCATGATGAATGGGTGGATGAATTGGAGACATATGAAGATGAGGTGCTAAACATTAAGGGTCTTATGGCTCATGTAATTGATTCGCCTGATGGCATTTGTAATGCTGATGGTTCTTACGCTGGTAAGTGGTCAAGTCCAAATCTAGGTCAAACTTGGTACCAAGAAAGTGCAAGTTTTAGACACTTGACCGGTTAAAAGTGACTCCTAGCAAATTTTATAGAGAAGGATGGTCTAATGGTGACTTTCGGTGACAATAGTGAAGAGTTGTAACATGCATTGGAACGTTTGAATGCACGATAAATAAGCTGAATGATGTATTCTATATAGAAGAAATCAAAGGCAACTTCATCTCCATCATTTAACTTTGTGACCCTGGTTACAAAGTTCTTTTCAACTGTCACGAGGGAAAAGTGTTTGATTCTGAAAACAAAATTGTGCTTTCTGCTCTTAGAGAAAACGATATTTATATGGTTTGATTTGTAGGTTTCGACACTGATACTTTATTTTTGTTTTATGCTTTGTTTCTTTTTAAGTTTTTTTAACATAAGTTGCTAGTATTTTAATTTATTTTTGGTTTGTTTGCATAATAAATTTTTTATTCTTTACTAAAGAAGTATACATTTTATGTACCGTTTCTTTTACTACTAACATTTCCAACATGATCTTCTCTATCAATAGTGAAGGGATCAGCATGGCATTCATTGAATGCATCAGTCTCCTTGTGATGTCAGTTGATGCTAAATCTACATCTTTTCTTCAGCAAAAACATCCCTTTCGTTGACGTTGATGCACACACCGATTGACATGTTGTATTATGATCATGAGATCAGAAGGCGGATAACTGTGCCACCAGTGTTCTTCTAGGCACATAAAACAAATTATAGAAAACATCATCAAGATATTTCATTTCATGAAAAAAACCATAGATCGGATGTCTCAAAAGTATGTCATTAGATAGTAACATTGTCAAAGTACAAGTCCCAAGAATCTCATATGAGGAAAATCGTGTGTGTGATGTGTTGCTGCCATGTCGGCTCCTTTTTCTTCGAATAAAAGGACGTGAAACAAAAACTAAAAACCGTACACACAAAGCTTTGTGAGTTCCCCCATCATACCATATACCAGATAATCACATAATGCCTAGTATATCTGGGTTCTGGCCTCCTCTTCGGTCCCTTTCAACTGGTAGTTGCCTAGCATATCTGGGTGTTGGCCTCCTCTTCGGTCTTTTTCAACCGGTAACCGGGGACTATTTCAGCCTACCACTACCACATAACAACCTAGCATAAACATATAAATCATATACAACCTAGCATATCTAGTTGTTGGCTTCCCCTTCGGTCTCTTTCAACCGGTGACCGGGGACTATTTCACCCCTACCACTACCACATAACAACTTAGCATACTAGCACATAAAACATAACAGATAGCGGCATACTAGGAAATTATCACAAATACAACCACATCAACTATAATTACCTACTAGTAGGCCGGAATTGGTGTCTTCGACCCACTCCTACTGGAAGGTAGCTCACCTCAAATGTCGTCTAGTATCTGAACTGTCCTCGACTCTGGTTCAAATCCTCTCAAATTCCCACACATAATATTTCCTTTAATTACCCTTTCATACTTATAACCCATATAAGGGTCGACTTAGGTCAAACTCAAAGTCAAGGTCAACACCCTGGTCAAAGTCAACCTTTGGTTAAAGTCCACATCCTAGTCAAAGTCAATCATCTACTCAAAGTAAACATCTGGTTGACTCAACTCGCCGAGTTCCATAAATATGAAAACCTCAAACTCGCGATCCAACTCGTCGAGTTACCCTCTAACTCGCTGAGCTCTTCCTTATGACTGAATCGAGACTTTTCTCTTGAACTCATTGAGTCTTTCCTTGAACTCATCGAGATCTCTAATCTTTAAAGCCTCGAAAACTTAGCCAACTCAATGAGTTATCTGCTAAACTCAGTGAGTTTTCTCAGTAACCAGAAAAGTTTAGGGCCATGATCCAACTCGTCGAGTTGCATGATCAACTCGTCAAGTTCCCTTTAGTCTATATCCATTAAGTCACTTTCTATTGGGCTTATTCCTTCGAAACCGTAGATATGGTCCCCTAGGACCAAGTTATCACATAAAGTTGCTAAGTTTATGTCCATGCATGGTGTCATGAAGCTAGAAACACCAAAACCAAGCTATATAAGAGATATAGGGAATAGGGAAGGACCAAGGTTTGATAAAGGTGGCAATTTTAGGCCTTATAAACTCGTGGGTGCCTAGATCTGAAGTCACAACTTTATGATACACTCAAGTCTTGAGAATGACTTCAATATGGCCCAAAAATGGTAAAATACAACCATAAATGAAGATCTAAGCAATAGAAAGCCAAGGTATCAACTTGATACCTCAAATGAGTCAGAAATGCAGCTCAACTTCTAGATATATTGAATTCCTCTTGAGTCCTCAGTATCCTCCTTCCTTTTCAAGCTTCAAAATCACCACAAACACACAACAATGGCTCAAAAACACTCCAAGGTGGATTAGGGTTTCGTGGGTAGGGTTTTGGGTGATGGAGGCTCCAAATGAGGCCAACCTTTGGAGATTAAGGTGCTTAAATAGGGTGCAAACCCTAAAATTAGGATTTAAATCTGGTAGATCTACTCATCGACTTGAGGATCTCAACTCGTTGAGTAGACTTCAAGTTTTGGGTCTAAAAATTCCATTCCTACTCGACAAGTTTGGGGCCTCGAACTCGTCGAGTCCCGTTGAAAAAATGAGAAATTCATAATTAAAATACATACCATGATCCAGGCATTACAAATCTCCCCCACTTATTTTAGACTTCATCGCTTAAGTCTGCTGCATCTAGAAATAGCTCTAGGTAGTGCTCCCTCATGTCGTCCTCCGGCTGCCAAGTGCATTTTGAGCCCTCGCAGTGCTGACGTTGCACCTTCACTAACTCCACCTTCTTCTTCCTCAGATCCTTTGTCTTCCTGTCGAGCTAGCGGCTGCTCAATGTAGTTTAATCTGTCTTCCAACATAATATGCTTCAGAGGTACCACCGTTGAGTTATCTACCAGACACTTCCATAGCTGGGAGACATGAAGGGTACTGTGGATCTGACTAAGCTTGACCGACAGGTCCAACCTATATGCCACCTTTCCCACCCGGGCTACAACCCTAAAAGGTTCGATATACCTAGGGCCCAGCTTTCCCCATTTTCTGAATCGGATGACACCTTTCCAAGGTGACACCTTCAGAAGGACCATATCCCAGACCTGGAACTCCAGGTCCGAACGACGCTTGTCGACATAACTTTTCTTCCGACTCTGAGCAGTCTCAAGCCAGCTTTGAACTTACTGGATCCTCGCAGTCATGTTGAGTACCACTTCGGTACTCCCCATGACCCTCTGCTCAACCTCACCCTAGCATATCGGGGTTCTGCACTTCCTCCCGTATAACATCTCGAAGGGAGGACGGTCTATACTCGCGTGGTAGCTATTATTGTAGGAAAATTCTGCCAAGGGAAGGTAGGTATCCCAGCTACCACTAAAGTCTAGGACGCATGCCCGCAACATATCCTCCAGAGTCTGGATGGTTCACTCGCTCTAACCATCCATATACGGGTGAAAAGACGTGCTAAGGTACATACGAGTATCCAACTCGTCGTGAAATTTCTTCCATAATCTAGAAGTAAATCGCAGTCTCGGTTAGAAATCACAGAAACTGGCACTCCATGTGGAGCTACTACCTCTCTAATGTAGATGTCGGCCAGCTTCTTGGATGAAATTCTCTCCTGAATCGAGATGAAATGGAGAGTCTTAGTCAACTGATCCACGATGACCCAAATCGAATCTACTTCCCGTGCGGTCCTAGGAAGCTTCTTAATGAAATCCATAGTAATCTCCTCCTACTTCCACACAGGGAAATCCAATACTTGCATCTTGTCGTGTGGCCTCTAGTGCTCTTCCTTGAACTTCCTACAAGTTAGGCATCTCTCGACGTACTAAGCTACATCCCACTTCATGCAGAGCAACCAGTAATCAGGGAGAAGATCTTTGTACATCTTCGTCGCCCCGGGATGAATGGAAAATCTAGACTTGTGAGCCTTATCCATCATAATCTGTCGTACTCTGCCCTAGTATGGAACCCATACCCTCCCATGTAGCATCAGCAGCCCACGACTTTCATAGTCGAACAAGGTCACCTGGCCTATGATCTACCTACACTTCCGGCGCTCCTCCTTCATTCCCTAAACTTGCGCCTCTCATATCCGCTCCAAAAGTGGAGTCACCACTGTCATCCTCAAGCAGATATCTCTGATTGGGGAAGCCTTGCAGCTCAGTGTATCGAACACAACATTGGCTTTCCCTGGGTGGTATAAGATCTCGCATTCGTAATCCTTCACCACATCTAATCAACGTCGCTGCCTCATGTTCAAATTTGGCTGATCCATGAGGTACCTCAAACTCTTGTGGTCTATGTATATGGTACAATGAACCCTATAGTGGTAATGCTACCAAATCTTGAGGGAGAAAACAACTACCCCCAACTCCAGATCATGCGTCGGGTAGTTTTCCTCATGAGACTTCAGCTGCCTCGAGGCATAAGCGATGACATGCCCCCTCTACATCAATACTGCGCCCAAACGAAAGATGGACGCATCACAGTATACTATAAAATCCTCCATGCCCTCTAGTCGGGGTAAGATCTCGGTGCCTCGTACAACCTTTATCTCAATGTATCGAACGTTGGCTGCTGCCCAGGCCCCCACCGAAAGACAACAACCTTCTTCGTCAGTCGGGTCATGGGTACAACTATCTTGGAGAAGTCCTGTATGAATCTATGGTAATATTGTGCTAACCCAAGGAAAATCTGAATGTCAGATGGAGACTTTGGAACCTCCCATCTCATCACGGCCTCCAATTTGGCCGTGTTGACCAAAATACCATTATGATTGACAAGGTTCCCCAAATTGCACATCGTGCAACCAGAGCTCGCACTTGGAGAGCTTGGTGTACAAGCTCTCCCTCCTCAAGGTATGCAACACCTCCCGCAAGGTCTCCTCGTGATGCTCCTGTTTCTTGGAATAAACCAAGATGTCATCAATAAAAACTATCATAGATTGATCTGGCATCAGTCTGCATACGTGGTTCATGAGGTCCATGAACGCAGTACGAGCATTGGTGAGCCCAAAGGGCATCACCACGAACTCGTGGTTGCCATAGAGAGTCCATAAATCAGTCTTATATACATCATCATCTCTGAATCGCATCTGGTGGTATCCTGAACGCAAATCCATCTCATAAAACCAAGATGCTCCCGGTAGTTTTTCGAAGTGATCATCAATCCTCGAGAGTGGGTAACGGTTCTTTACCATTACCTTGTTCAATTTCCGGTAATCTATACACATATGGTGTGACCCATCCTTCTTCACAAATAGGATTGCGGCTCCACAAGGCGTAATACTCGGCCTAATGAACTCCTTGTTTAATAGCTCCTGTAGCTGTGTAGACAACTCTCGCATCTCAGGAGGAGCCAACCAATATGGTGCCTTGGCTATCGGAGCCTCACTAGTGACTAGGTCAATCCTGAACTCCACCTGTCTCTCCAAAGGTATCCTATGTAAATCCTCTGGAAATACATTCGAGTACTCTTGCACCACTGGCACATCACTCACGGTCGCCTACCTGCCTCCCAGGTATCCATACCATAGGCGACATACCCTATGCAACACTGCTGAAGGTAACACCTAGCCCTTGCTGCTAAGCACAAAGCTGGTCTAAGCTGCGGCCTCTCACCCTGAATCACCAACTCTCCCCCACTTGGTTTCTTGACACGTACCAGCTACTGCACACAGTCAATCA